ATATATATATATATATATATATATATATATATATATAGTTGGGCAAATGTTTTGTTAGTGGGATGGATTGTAAAGGACCTGCCTAGTATGGGCCAACAAGCCTACTGCAGTGCTCCTCCTTTCTTATGTTCTAATGACATGGAACGAATTATGTAGATGAACTACGGAGTGTGAAACTAGACTCGGAAGTTTTGCTTGCTTTATTATGATTCATACAGCATAAGTGTGAATTTGTCACGACAGTAACAAGGTAGTGTAAATTTTATGTTAGGTTAAAGTACACAAAAGCTTTTATTATCGCTATGTAGTGACGTAAGATAAGATTTGATCAGATTTTTAACTTTGGAGCGTTAGTCACCTAGGATAACCCAAGAAAGTCATTGCATCATCAAGGACTGTCTGTCTTTTTTCCAATGGGGTCTTGTCCCCCAGGAAGCGACCCACGCCAGACGGTTGACAACCAGGTACCTACTTACTGATAAGTGAACAGGGACAGCAGGTTAAAGGAAACATGCCCAGTGTTTCCACCCGACCGGTACTGTACCACGGATACCCAGTGTGTGAGGCGAGAGCGTTACCTACCGAGCCACGTGACTTACAGGACGTCAGAATGTAAGACCTGCAGTACACGTAATGGTCCGTGCTAGTAATAGCAATAATAAGAGTAGAAACTACGTCTTGTCAGGTTATGTAACTTTGTCTAAAATAAAGATTAATGACGCTTCAAGGCATTATTATCTGTGGGTGTCTTGATTCCTTAATCACTAACCAGGTGTCGTTCCCTCATCAAGTGATTGGTGATTTTGTGATAGTGTTTTAGAGACGTTCAGGGCAATTTGGCTGTTGGGAAGGATGATAACTTTTCTTTAAGTGGTGACAAGATATGAACTGCTCTTTTCTTGCAGTACCTGATGAACAAGAATGGAAAATGCGGCTTATTGAAGGTTTGATGTGTACAGGAGCATTCCTTATCAGTAAATGCGGAATGCTCTCAAGACACTAATTATCTTCGTGTTTTGAATACAGCAGGAGTAAAGGTTAATTTTGTCTGTAGGCATCCTGTAGATTTTTCAGTTTTAATTTTGTGGATGAGGACGTCGATGCATGTTAACTTTTTATTGGTCTCCTTTTCAAGTATAAACAGGACCACCCGTTCAACTTCGTTAAGCCTTTTATTTAGATTCTAGATGTTAATACATTTGGGAGTCATTACGAGGACGTTGTCCGCATGTGGCACTCAAGTGATGTTGATGGGTATAGCGATGGTGAAGTGTTCAGTTTTTAGGAGCTCCGTATACAAGTTTGCCAAGATGTGAAAACCCACACTATTCCGATATGTTTGTCCGAAAAGGATGTTGTCGAAAGAAAAACGGTTAAAATTTATGAAGAGTTTGGTCAAACTGACGAAATCCCAGGGAGACAGAGGAAGATTAATGTCCTGACTTAAAAACGCATGTGTAACATCTGAATATCTTTACTGAGAGACGTTTCGCTTACACAGCAGTTTTTGAAGATCTTATACAGAGGCGTGAGAATGGAGACTTTTATATTGGGGCCCGTAGATGTAGTGGATAGATGCAGCAGTTGAAGATATCGTCACATGTGGTCGGGATCCACTAGAGGAAGTTACATAATACCGCCAATTTGATGACTAAGACACATGTGCAACACCTGGGTATCTTGTAAGACGTTTCCCCTGCACAACAGGCATTTTGACTGTGACTCCAATTTAAAGCTCTCCGTCCTCATGCCTCTGAACTAAACAGATAAATCCTGCTGTACAGGTTTATATATTTAATTCAGGTATTGGTCATCAGCCTGTCGGTATTATACCTCTGATCTAATGATCAAGGTCCTGGTTGACCTTACATAAACTCAAGGGAGTTTATGTAATTTCAGTAATATCTGAATGTAACACAAAGCCTACTTACGTGATCATTATTGGAAATCTACTTCACTTGATAAGTGTATTGGTATACTAACAAGTATTACAGGAGGGAAATGGAGAAGGATATACGGTAATTGTAGAGTGTGTGATGAATGGTTTTGAAAACCTACAGGTTAGTAAGTAAGTAAGTAAGTAAGTTTATTCAGGTATACACAAATACAGTTACATAGAATTATCATACATAGCAGCATACATGCAACATATGGGAATTTTCATTGAAGAAACATTTCTCCACACAGTGACTTCATCAATCCAGTACAAAGCAGGAAGGTGTAAGGAGAGGAGGAGTTTGAGTTAATCAGTCCCTCAGCCTGGAATCGATGTGTTCAGTCCATCACTCTTGTAGGAAGTACAGCATAGGGTCAGAGAGGTGGATTATATGTATACTGTAGTCAGGTGAGTCGATGCGGGAGGAGGCAGGATCACAGTGGGACCATCCACTAGTCTAAGTAGGTCTTCGTCGAAAGGTTGAACTAGTGTTGAAGAATTCTTTGTATCAAGATCCCATGATGTTGCAGTGTCTGACAAAGAGTGACAAAATCTCTGCTCCCCAGAGGTTCCTACTGACGTTTATCACATTAATTAGTAAATACTGTTCTTTACAATTAATTTAGCAACAAGTAAAGGACACGATATTAAGTTTATTTCTTTACCTAACCACATATATGTTCAAGATTATTTTTTACACAGGCAGGCTAAGCAAGCAACGGGTAAAGCAGAGGCAGATATTGCTTTCACTCTGTCTATAAAACAACTTAAACAATGCCTTGTCCTATCGCAAAGATGCCTTTGAAGAACAAAAGGATGAACTCAAACATTATGATGATAGTACTGGCTTCGTAGATTTATTATTGGTGAGAATACCGACACTATACTAGATAAATTAACACATGTGCATCTAATAAAAAATAATTTTCTTGGAAGAGCCTACGGTGAGCGAGTCGCAGCCGCAGTCAATATCTAAACAGTTACACAAGTGTCCATTCTCCTAACATCTCTAGTCTCGATAACACGAGATGAGAAATAGAACTACAGACTCACAAGGAAAGAATAAACAATTCTATAAGACCGTAAAAATACAATGACAACAGCGACATCTCTTCATCCTTAATGTAAACTGTGTCCACCTTCATTCGCATTCACTACATGTATCAGATTGTGACCAAACTTCTATCTCTAGCTCTCCAGCTCTAAACAGTCTCTCACTTACGCAATAACGTGTTTTTCTTCACAGTTCCTGAACTACATTTGGCATCATTACAGATATACTAAACTTTGCTTTAAATATGTAAACTGTAAGTAATAATTACTATGTAGGCGACCTCTCCACGTTGAAATTTCTTTGCAATATTGCCCATCTTCGTTTCAGAACTGGTAACACTTTAGCAGGAAATGGTAATACTCAATCAAGAGCTGATAACACTGAAAGAAGAGCTATTAGCGTACAAGCAAGGACTGGTAATAGTATAGCAATAACTGGAAGAACTCAAGAACTAATAATGCTCAAGTTGGAACTGGTAAAATCAAGCAAGAACTGGTAATATTCAGGGAAGAACTTGTAGCACTCAAGTAAGAATAAAAAAATCAAACTAGAACTAACACAACAGAAGGAAGAACTAATAAAATTCAAGCAAGAACTGGTAACACTGAAGGAAGAACTGTAAACATTCAAGTAGAAAAAGGTATACCACTTAGAAATTAAATAAGTAATCTCACGAAGAACTGTCATATTACATGAAATAATATAGAAAATTTTCAGAAAATTTCTGCTGTTACGTCTTCTACATAACAAAGGTGTACACCGATGGCTTCAACATTCGCTGGGGGAGGAGAGTGAACCACTGTTATCCTAGATAGTAAGTCAGTAAGAATTATACAGTGCCTGAGGAATGGTAAGTAATTAGATTTGATTTAAGGAAGAGGGTAGCTTCAATTACTTGGATCAAGAGGGCTTCACCAGCATCAACGCAGCCCTCCTCTAGTAGAAATATATTCACATTGCAGTGGTAGTTCAGATGAAGCCACCCACGAAAATCAATAGCAACCTTGGGAATGATCTCAAGGCAGTACATGAACTGTGAGTGTAGTCACAATCGCGGTGATGCAACGATGCTGCTCCATTATTGCAAAAAAAATCCTCTCAGAAGATTTGAAAAGCAAAAAATAACAGATGGGAAGGGAAAAAATCTGTTAATTATGTTTGGGAATATGAATAATAAGATTATTGGTCTGCCAGATATTTCATATTCAAGTTATCTTAGACTACCTGGAGGTATGGCACCACCGTAGTGTTATTGAATGCTGAAGAAGGATGAGTGAGGAGTGCTCCATACTAAAGAGTGTGTGTCTGTGTCGGTCCACAGTGGATTTAAATTGAATTCGTACCTATAACCTTGTGTCTCGTTGACACAAGGGATAGCCGGTTTTTGGAAACATTTTAATTTTAATTTTTATTTTGCTGTCTCGATCCGATTTATTGTGAACCCCTGTGATCAACTTGTCAGCCAATTTAGTATAAGCAAGACGAGTTACTATATTTGTCTTTGAGATGCAGTCCACTCGATATGAATTCCTTGGTCACGTGAGCCCCTTATGTTGACTTCGTGGAGATAAGTGACAGGGTCAGGAGATACTAATACACGTGTCCCTTTGCCATCACATACAGATTTTGTAATTGATGTATAAATACATAAGATATTGCACGCATTTAGTCAATTATAATAATCGACACGTATAAATTGGACATTATTTTAAACAATAGGGTTATAACTGGAGTCAAATATTTGTAGTAAAGACCCCCACCCCATACCTGGCCAGGTTTCGAATCTCTGTACCTAGAACAGCATGTGCATGCTGTAATCAGAACGGGTTTTCCTAAAGATAATAACTAAATATATACATATTTAGCCAACAACTGTTTTATCATTTTTAACACTTTTACATTTAAGAATTTCACGACGTAGATTGCATAAATTTATCCTAGGTAATTTTGTTGGTTATGGTATGAACTACTAAGACTTTAATCATTTGTGATGATAATGGATCAAAATTAATTAGAGTGCATGAATAATATGCAAGTACACCTTTCATTATCTGCAGCGATAAGATACTAGGATTGATCTAAATGGGTAAATGTGAGACTGTCAAAGCCACTCACTTCCTCACTTCCACCTCAGCTAACAGGTAATACCTAAGGTTATCATTGTTTTTATTTGATATAATGTAATTTTATAGCACTATTAAGAACAAATAATCTGGAGCTATTACATGACCTAATTCAGGAGCTTTTTCTGTTTGTTGCAACAGTTGATGAAGAGATGCATGATAACAATTGATGATTCCGACCTAACCAGAAAATTATCTTGTCGGTTTGGACGCACCTTCAACAGGAGGTGTAATATTTGTAATATTACTGTCAGTTTAGAGTGCTTGATGATAAAAAAAAACTTTCATGCTGGTGGATGTGAAACAAGAAAAAATATTACAATATGCACTCTGTTGATTATTTTAGAGGTCCCAGGGTTGAAACAAGCTAATTTTGGGCAGACCCACGATTTCACATTATTAATATAAGGAAACTGATGGTGTAGAGGCAAAGAGCACCAAAGTTCAAAATTAGGGTCTGGTAGAGATAGTATCGCACGGATTCGAACCCTACTGCGGAATGAAGTATAATGTTAGTAAAGTAAATAATCGTCGAGAGTTTGGCTGGCTTTCTTAAAGGCTGCCCTAAGTCTCGGGTTCGAGTCTCGGTCAGTCACAGTTCTGATACGTCCTTCGGCGCCCTGTCGCCAAGGCTGCAGTAAGAATGGTGAGTCAAAAAGCTGCTGCAATGTTGAAACCAACTCGGCTCGGGGTTAGCGTTCAACAAGGCTGTAAAGCAGCTGCCCATGCAGCACCAGTATACATCAACAACATGTCAGATGAAAAAAAATTATCAAATTGGATTTTGCCAACGCTTTCAACTTAGTTTCTAGACACTTACCTTCCCTTTATCTTTTCACACAATCATGTTGTAGTGTGACTTCTAAATCATTGTCTGGGGACCATGAAATTGACTGGTGTTAGGGTGTGCAACAGGGGGACCCTCTCTCCCCTTTTCTATTCTGTCTGGTCATATAGGAGGTCACAGAAGCACTCTCCAGTGAGCTCAACATCTGGTTCTTGGATGATGGTACCCTAGCTGGCACTAAAGACTCTCCTAGAGGCCATCAGAAAAATTAAAGACGTGGAAGAGAACTTGGGCCTATCTTTAAACCCAACCAAATGAGAAATAGTTTCTACCAATCGACAAATGATCCAGAATATTAGTGCTGTTTTACCAGGAGCTCGAGCCATTGATTCAGCCAACAGCACTCTCCTTGGTGCTCCTCTTGGGTCCAGTGTCATTGATCTGATCCTAGAAAAGAAAATCTCAGCCCTCAGGACGATGGAAGGCAAATGATCGATACACATGATGCCTTCTACCTACTCACCAGGTGCCTCTTCATCCCAAAACTTACCTACTTCCTGAGATGCTCCCCAGCTTTCAGCTGTCCGAATCTCATGGAATATGACTCAATCCTAAAGACCATGCTAGAGAGTGTATTGAATCTTTCCCTTGAAAATGGACAGTGATTGCAAGCCTCACTTCCAGTCAGGCTTGGGGGGCTGGGAGTACGCAGATCCTCCCAGATTATCCTACCAGCTTTTCTATCCTCTTCCATAGCATCAAATGAGTTAATAAAACAAATTCTTCCGGACAACTTCATTGACTCAGCAGGAATACAGGACCCCAGCTACGCCAGTTCCATCACTGAATGGGAGACTCTCGCTGCTTCAGCACCAAAACCTATTGCAGCACTGGCCATCAAACAGTCAAGATGGAATGGCCCCTTCGCTGAAAAGGTGCTTGCCAACATGCTTAGGGATGTAACTTCAGACAGGGAGATTACCTGTCTCTAAGCTGTGAGTGCACATCACTCTGAGGACTTCCTCCAAACAGTTTCCATTTCGGCAACGGGAACACGCCTCGTCCCTAAGACTTCGTATTGCAGTGGCTCTGCGCCTTGCTGTCCCAATTCACACGGAATATACGTGTATTTGCGGCGATGCGCAAGCCGACCAATATGGTCTACATGGTCTTAACTGTTCCAAAACCAAGGGTTGGCACGCAAGACACAATGAGGTCAACGACATCATGAAGAGAAGCCTTGCTACAGCTGGATGCCCAGCCGAGAGAGAGCCCCGATCACTAGCAGCCAACAACACCCACAGCCCAGCAATCCACCTTGAGGGGATCACCATCAATCCCTTGGAAGAATGGCAGGCTCTTAGCATGGGACTATACCTGCATGTCGACGCTGGCTGACACCTACATCCATCACAGTGTCAGGCGACAGGGAGGAGCTGCTGACCACAGGGAGGAGTACAAGATTGGTAAATACAAAGACATAAGCCAACAATATCAATTTGTCCCTGTGGGACCAGAAACCTTGGAATCATGGGGAAAAAACGCCACACGCAACCACAAACAAGTGATATTTAAACAACAACACACTGCGGGTAGCCGGAGGATCGAACCTGTGTTGTTTTAGCCTTCCTCGTGGGAAGCAAGCCAAAATTCACTCCGCTCTAAACCACTGGAGCATACAATCCTGCATGGTACAGCCGGATTCGATCCCCCGGCTAGCCTCAGTGTGTTATTGCATATATATATATATATATATATATATATATATATATATATATATATATATATATATATATATATATATATATATATATATATATATATATATATATATATATATATATATATATATATATATATATATATATATATGTCGTGCCGAATAGGCAGAACTTGCGATCTTGGCTTAAATAGCAACGCTCATCTTGCCATATAGGACAAGTGAAAATTTGTGTATGCAATAATTTCGCCAAAATCATTCTGAACCTAGCGAGAAAAATATATTTGATTGTGTTTATTTAGTATTAAATTATTGTAAACGTATTTAAAATATATTTAGTTGGTTTAGGCTAAAATAAATTGCTCTTGTTATAATAAGGTTAGGTAAGTTTTCTAAGATTCTTTTGGTGCAAAATTAAAAATTTTTATGTTAACATTAATGAAAAAAATATATCTTTAAATGTATAAAATAAAATTTCAGAAAGGACTTAATTTTAAATGAGTTCTTGCTAATTGACCAGTTTCACATATTCGGCACGACATATATATATATATATAGTTATATATATATATATATATATATATATATATATATATATATATATATATATATATATATATATATATATATATATATGTATATATATATATTGCATGCTATATATTTAACAGATTACGATGGGAACTGGTACGATGAAGGAAGTAGAGGTAGAGGAAAGTGTGTCCCCTGCTACCACGCCCTCCGCCGGCAATTTGGGCTGTCATATCAACAGACGCCTTGCAGTCTTCTTGGGTGTATTGTTCGTGAGCGCCACCGTTGCCGTGGGGGTCCTGGCGTATTACTCCTCCTCACGCACATTAGAGCATGGGCACAAGACTTCAGGCTATTACGTGGTAGGCATTAACTACCTATTAATTGTATCAGTTCTTCGAGTGAAAGAGCTACATCTCTCCCTGAGCATTTCTTTTCGATTATTAGTAAAAAATTACAAGTTGAACTTATTTTGTTATTTTGTGATTGTATATTCAACTCTATAACTACTATTAATATAAATATCTCATAGCAAATATATTTTCACTTCAATGGTGTCTTCGTCAGAATGACACTAATACTGAAGAATAGAATTCAAGTAGAGAATTGTATGTGACGCTAAGGGATTCCTGGGGGTCTTGAGCCCCTCTATAATTTCTCTCATCTCTCCACCCCTTAATTAAACAACTCACGTGATGAATATCATCATTTATTTAACTTATTCTTAGGTATGAATCTCAGGCTATACCAAATATGGATCAATAAGTCCAATATATATATTATAGTGCTCCTGTTGTCCATATAACAACATAAGAAAACTGTAGCAGGTCTACTAGCCCATACCTGCCAGAGCCTTCTCATATCTAACTTCTCTTACTCAAATATTGGTCCAACCCATTCTGAAAGCTATCCAAGGTTCAAGCTTCAATAACCCTACTAACCCATGCTCTGCAGGTCTCACTCCTTTCACCACTTTCTTGCTCACTTACTATGTTCAAACCATGTTGTGATGCTTTCATGGATCTGTATAAGCTGGAGCCCATCAGTGTGAACGTAGGTTTTCCCACCTGCGACTGATAAAAACTTACTTGAGAAACAACAGTAGCGATAGGAAAACAACTGATATTGCAGCAATATCAGTCACTTTGAAGAGGCAAAGGTCTGAATATTTGAGGGTATTATTGACACGTTTGCTTCCAACTACAGCAATTGTGTAGCCTATTTACCAGTGTTTCTTTACTGTAGTTTCTAGTTGACCTCATTTTTATTGTCCTGTGTAGGTCTATCCTATCCCTAGTGATTTTCCTGGTGCAGTAAATGATGAAATGATCACTAAGACCTGTGGTAATGACGCCTGACTGACTAATGTTCTCAGCGCGGTTACAAAGTATGTGGTCAATTAGGGTGGCTGAGAACTGTGTTTACCTGGAGTTTACCTGGAGAGAGTTTCGGGGGTCAACGCCCCCGCGGCCCGGTCTGATCCGGTGTGATCCGGGTTGGTGTATTAATTAGTTGAGTGTAACTATTTAAACCTAGAATTTGCTTATACCTATTGCATAGCCCGTTATTTTGCTGCTGAAAACAGGCATTGAAGTTGCCCAGTATATTGTCTCGCAATTGTTTTCAAATCCGGACAATACTCTGGAAAAGTCTTCTAAGAACTGGTCCTGGGTAGGAGGGCGGTAACTAGTTCCTACTAAGATGGGTTTGGTCTTGGGAAGCAGCACTTCAAACCATAGAATCTCCAGTTTATTGTTATTTAAATCAGGTCTTGGGTTGTAAGCTAAGTCATTTCTAATGTAGGCACATACTCCATCACCCTTTCTGTTCCTATCTAAGCGTTTTATTTTGTAACCTTCTATTTTGACCTCGTCGTCAGTCACCGTATCCAACCAGGATTCAGAGATGGTTATAACTGCCGCCCTAATTTTGTTAGCTAGAATCTTAATCTCTGCCAATTTAGGAAGAAGTGATCTTGCGTTGACATGAATAAAGTGAAGGCCTGTTTTCATAAAACAATTATAATCATCAATATATGGCAATGGGTCATTTGTATTAAAATTAGGTAAATCAATGTCATCATTGCTAAAGGATAACTGTGCCAAAGTGCATTTGTTACACACAAAATGAATTCTGGCACCGTTGCTATAATTGTGCATACATCCATCATGCACCCACCCCTTACACATTTTACATAAGGTGCCTTTTCTGTTTTTCCTGCGTACTTTAGTACAGTGTATGCACCTGTTTGGTAGTGTTTGAGATAATAATGGCTGTATTGTCTCACATTGACCTATGTATGCATTACATATGGAGTTAAGGTTATCATTCCTAGCTACTAGACCGTCATTATCACCGTCATTTATCTGTCTGTTTTGCCTCTGCACAATAGTTTGAGGTCCTGGATTAATTTGGATATCACCTCTTAAGAGCGCTACAATAAGAGCTGTGTGCCACTGTTTTTGTTTGGGTATGCGGTGTTGCCATACCTTGCGGCGATAGTGACATTTACTTTTCTGGTAGGATGGCAACTGTTGGGCTTTTACTGTCCAGGGCGCTGTTACTCCATTCACCTTTTCCAGCCCCATGACTGATTTCTTTCTTCATGGAATTGAAGAAGAAAGATAAATATAATTATGGCAGCCTGTACCCCTCTAATGTCTGCCATTTTCACCCTTCGCTCTTTTACTCATGTACAATAATATTTATTTCTCTTTTCCAGTCACCTAGTACACTTAGTATCTGCTTTAGCAATCACCACTGAATTACTAGTAAATTTTCTTCTTCAAAACTCTCTTCACTGCTCACTTTTCCCTTAACTTCACAAACCCCTTTCAGTTGACCCCTTATTACACACTCCCCTTCCCACCTCACTTCACAGTCCGGCTTCACCTATTAACTTCTAACTCCTTTCCATTCTGGTAGACCAGAAAGGTTTAATCAATGCTTTTATCCTTCCAAATCCCCCTCAATTCCATTTATCTGGGGTTGTGTCGTGTTGTTGACTGCCTGACCTGGTCTGCTGACTCGGCCATTTTTAAAACACTGAGGGAAGTAAACGCCACCTACAACCTGACTTTCTTTGAGTTTATAGGTATATTTGGCGTTTTCTCCTATGATTCTCTCACTATACACTGGTCAGCTGAATATAGGTCAGCTACTAAAACATTAACCTTGACTGTTTACCTATTCACTTCTTTCCCACGACTGGAACTGAGGGATAACCGTCCTATAACCTTGGAGTTTTGTACTGTTGATTTGACGATGTCTCCTGTGTTTCCCTCTCGTTAGCACTGGTACAGGTGATATGATGGTGGTACAGATATGATGCTACTGTCAACAGATGAACGCCAGTAAAGATGAGAATTTCACTTCGCTAGTTGTACGTCTGGCAGTAGCTGGTGTTTGGATGCCGGTCAGCCATGTTTAAATGCTCAATTCTTTCCCTCGTTTGGCACTGAGGAAAAAAGTCCTACAGACCTGTCATTTCCTTGGAGTTTTGTTGATCAGGTTTTCTGCCATGTTGTCTTCCCGTTGAACACTGGTGCAGTTGATATGGAGGTCAGTTATTACATTGTAGTGGAAACAGAACAGAAGGGAACAGAAAGGGTGGTGGAGTATGTGCCTACATTAGAAATGACTTAGCTTACAACCCAAGTCCTGATTTAAATAACAATAAACTGGAGATTCTATGGTTTGAAGTGCTGCTTCCCAAGACCAAAACCCATCTTAGTAGGAACTAGTTACCGCCCTCCCACCCAGGACCAGTTCTTAGAAGACTTTTCCAGAGTATTGTCCGGACTTGAAAACAATTAAGAACATAAGAACATAAGAACGAAGGAACACTGCAGAAGGCCTACTGGCCCATGCGAGGCAGGTCCAAGTCTCCTACCGGCTTAAGCCAATGCACCCAACCTAGTCAGGTCAGGTCACATTGACTTAAGGGAGGAACACGGCAACCGACCTGGTAGCACAAGCTATCAGGTCCAACTCACACTCACCCACATCCACTCATGTATTTATCCAACCTATTTTTAAAACTACACAACGTTCTGGCCTCTATAACTGTACTTGGGAGTTTGTTCCACTCATCCACAACTCTATTACCAAACCAATACTGGGCGACTTCAATATCTGTTTTCAGCAGCAAAATAACGGGCTATGCAAAAGGTATAAGCAAATTCTAGGTTAAACCTAGAATTTGCTTATACTCAACTAATTAATACACCAACCCGGATCACACAGTTCTCAGCCACCCTAATTGACCACATACTTTGTAACCGCGCTGAGAACATTAGTCAGTCAGGCGTCATTACCACGGGTCTTAGTGATCATTTCATCATTTACTGCACCAGGAAAATCACTAGGGATAGGATAGGCCTACACAGGACAATAAAAATGAGGTCAACTAGAAACTACAGTAAATAGGCTACACAATTGTGACTGAACAGAGATAACAAGTTGCACGGACGTAAACGATGCCTGGGAAAAATTCAAAACAATGTTCACTACCATCCTTGATAATATTGCACCAGTTAAAGAGGTTAGGATTAAACGAAGAATTGAACCTTGGAGATCTACTGAGATATTAGATAATATGAAATTTAGAGACCAGCTGCTAAAAAGATTTAAAGCAAACAGACAGGATATTGCAGCACTAAATGAATTCCAAAGGGTGAGGAACAGAGTGCAGAGACTTATAAAAAGAGCAAAGGCAAAGCACTATTGCTCAAAAATTGAAGAGTATAAGCATAACCCCAGAAAGCTCTGGCAACAACTAAAACAGTTGGGGTATAGCCATAAGCCAGTAGATAGGTCTAACATAGTACTCACTATCGATAATGAGGTATGCCACGAAACATCTAAGGTGGCAAATTGCTTTAATTCCTACTACATATCTGTTGCATCAACATGACTCAAGAAATCGTAATGACACGATTGCAAACGCGACGGGCTGGAGTTTTGAGACTCTATGACCGCGGGTTCAATCCCGGCCGGGGGTATGGTTTGGGTTGCATCAACACTAGTAAGTAAACTACCAGCTGCATCAAATACCTTTAACACAGACTCTGATAAGTTTCAAACATACTATACCAATAAAGGGGTAACCCCAAACAGTTGTCAACTAGTAAGTGTATCTCATGACTTTATTCAAAAAGAGCTAAGCAGGTTAAACCCATCTAAGAGCACAGGCCCTGATAACATCCGGTCTAAGTTCCTAAAAGATGGTGCTTCTGAACTGTCAATCCCTATTGCTCACATAATAAATCTATCAATCACCACTAATACCGTACCGGAGGGGTTCAAGGAGGCCAGAGCTACTCCTATCTTCAAGAAAAATAGTAGGTCTGATGTCAGCAAC